TTTATGTATGATTGACATAAGTGACGCTCATGTATAATTTTGGAGTACTGGACGTACTTTTGATCACCTGGTTGGTGATAATAGCAGCAGGCTGCGAATAATTTTGGAGTACTGGGCGTACTTTTGATCACCTGGTTGGTGATAATAGTGGTAGGGTGCCGAATAATTTTGGAGTACTGGGCGTACTTTTGATCACCTGGTTGGTGGTAATAGCGGCAGACTGCCGAATAATTGTTTGTAGTACTGGACGTACTTTTGATCACATGGTTGGTGATAATAGAGGCAGGGTGCAGAATAATTTTGAGGGTGAGGATGCCCTTTTATAGAATAAGGGCTCCTCCATTTTTTACATATTTGCCCCTCCATTTATTACATAATTACATTTGAGTCCCTCGAGTATTTATACGAGATCTAAATACAGAGGCCCTAAGTATTGTACAAACAAGGTTTAAAATTTGTTCGTAGTTATACATTATCACACTTTATGGCTTCGTCACCTTCTAGGTGTCGGCTAGCACGGCTCGATTCGGAGTCCTAGTGGACATTTCGGGTTGGCGTGTGTCATACATCTTGTGTTTGCTTCCCTATTTCTATCTCTTTACATATTACCATCACTAGGTGACCAAAGCAACCGAACGAATGTCACAAACTTCACACTTTACGTTGTTCCAAAGTCTCACTGATTTTGTGCATCAACAATCAACACTCCTTGAGCTTGCATCTGAATAAGCTATGAATACAAATCAAGTTCTTTTAATCAGGCATGTTTGTGTCACATTTTTAGCAAGAGACATAAACTTCCTTAATTCTTTACGGTATAGTCATCACACAATAGATTAAGATACAATACAATTCAAATGAAGAGCATAGCATATACATTAGGGATACTATTTATGCTTTTGTCTAAAACTTTAACACTTCGATTCGATGGTAAGTAGGAAAAAAAACAAAGAGTATTACGAGATAAAAGCTAAGAATAAAAATATCAACCCTTCATGCAAGTTTTATTTATTTATTTTTATTTTTTCGGCCTAAGAACTAACATTAATTCTTTCTACATTACTATAAGAGACGTAAAAAATTCATTTACATTCTTAATTTCATTCTTTAAACACAAATATATCTTAGTCTTAAAGCAGCCATAATGCATTTTTATTTTGCAAATTTTTTTTTTTGCATGTAGAAAAATAGTAGTGCCCAATTTTGATCATTTTGTAAGTTCCGTATGTAGGGAATCCTTGTGTCTTTCTGCTTAAATCTTATTGCCAAGCTTCCATTAGAGTGGGACCCCCTAACAGGCCCGCTAATCCAAAAATCCAACACTCAGAACTCAGATCCTCTCTCCACTGTGAATTCCACTTGACAGAATAAACTTAAGCCTTTCCACTTGTATTTTTGTTGTGATCCTTTGTCGTCCCTTCTAGGTTTGCAAGGGTCCTCGTACCAGTATATCTAGTCGAATCTGGTAGATTCGATGAAGATTTACTCTTCATAATCCTCTTTTTTATTTTGGTACTTGTGTGTTTTGGATGAGGTAGATCTTCATCTGACCTTGATCATATGTGTCCAAATGTTTGATTCTCGAATGAAAAACAGGATTGGCACTTAATGATATCGCAGACATGTTATCACAATGTATCACAAGTGGATGAGGTAGAAATACATTCAAATCTTTCAAAATATATCTCACCTAAGTAATATCTGCAGCTGTATGAGTTAATGCTTTATATTCAGCTTTTGTGGAGCTTCTTGAAATTGAATTTTGTTTCTTAGACTACCAAGAAATAGGCTTGCTTCCAAGAAATACTACATAACCTATCACTGACCTCCTAGTTTAAGGTCTGTAGCCCAATCTGCATCTGAAAAGGTATTCAAACTTACTTCTACAGTTACTGAATAATAAATACCATCTTGAATTGTACCTTGCAAGTATCTCAGAATTCATTTCACTACTGCTAGATGTACATCAGTTGGTGAAGTCATGAATTGACATACATAATTCACTAAAAAGGCTATATCTGGCCTTGTGACTGTCAAATATTGAAGAGACCCTACAATACTTCTATAGATACTAGGATCAAACAATGGTATGCCTTCTGTCACAAGCATTGAATTGTGAGGCTTGAAAGAAGTTGTTGTAGGTTTACAAGACTCTAAACATGTTTTGTGTATGAGATCCTTGATATACTTTGTTTGATTTACAAAGATATATCCATTATCCCTATAATGAACCTGTAATCCTAGAAAGAATGGAAGTTTCCCAAGATCTTTCAAATCGAATACTTCGGACAATTATTGCACTGCTTTGTTGATCTTTGAAGTGTTGGAACCTATGAGTATAATGTCATCGACATAGAGCAATAAGATCACAATATCATCATCTTCCCTTTTCATGAACAAACTTGTACTGACAGTGAAGCTATGAACCCCATTGCAACCAGATAAGTAGTGAATTTCGAATTCCAGGCCCTTGGTGCCTGTTTTAGACCATATAGTGACTTGATTAATTTGCATATATGATTGAGATGTGAAGAATCAACAAAGCCTTGTGGCTGTTTCACATAGACCTTTTTTTTGTAAATCACCATGGAGGAATGCATTTTTGATGTCCAGTTGTTTTAAATCTTAGTGATTCATTGCAGCAAGTGATAAAATGATTCTCACTATTGTATGTCTCACAACAGGTCTAAAAGTTTCAGAATAATCCACTTCATGCTCCTGAGAAAAACCTTGTACAACCAGGCTAACCTTATACTTGATATACTCCCATATGGATTCTTTTTCACCTTGTAAACCCACTTCCGACTATTGATCTTTCATTAGGTGTAGGAACCAATTGCCAAGTTCCTTGTACTCTCAAAGAATCATATTCCTCTTGCATAGCTTGCTGCCATTGTGGTATGCTTGATGTTTTTCTAAAACTTGATGGTTCTGCAATATCAGTGACTTGAGTAACAAAAGAGAAACCTCTAGAGAATGGTTCATCTTCTGTTAATTACAATTTTTTTAATTCAGGGAATGCGGCCAATTATGCTACATAATTTCTCTTTTCATTTGTTCCACTCTTCAACCTTATTACCATAGGATGCTGAGAAACTGAATTTATCACAGATGTAGAAATTCCAGGATTTATAGTATCCTGAGATGAGATAGGAAGAAGTACCTCTAATTGGGAGCTATGATGGACATGCAATAAGGGTGATGAGACAGAAGTTGGAGTAGAGTGATAATGATCAGGAGTTTCAAATGTTGTTGAGTGTGACAAACTTGAAGAACTAGAATTCCCAATTTCAGATATATACTGTTCTGCATTTGTGTGTACCAAACTATGTTGAGTGTCTTAAGTTGAGCTAGAATTTGAAGTATATACTAAACCATTATCTTCCAAAATTGGCAGTTGAACCAATATTGGAACATATCTAGATTTCTATGGATCTGAAACCCCTTCTTTAAGTGGTGCAGTTAACTTTTGACATGGAAAAACTGACTTATCATGTATAACATGTCTTGATAAAATCAATCTTCCAGTTTGTAAATTGCAACAGACTACTCCCTTATAACCAACTAAATATCCTAGAAAAAGACACTGTGTTAATCTAGGCTGCAACTTATTGGTATTAATGGCCTAAGGTAGGGATATATAGCAGTTCCAAATACTTTCTGGTATTGTTCCAAACACACACTGATATGAATATTTCATTTCAAGAACCTTACATGGCATCCTATTGATCAATAGAGTTGCTTGTGCACAAGCATGATACCAAAACTTAGGTTCTAAATTTGCTTCAGCCATTAATGTTGCAGTTTTCACCACCTGTTTATGCTTTCTCTCAGCAAGACCATTCTGTTGAGGAGTAGGAGGGGGTATGAAACCATATGTTTAATACCTTTATTTCCCAATAAATCATTGAACATTTTACTCTTGTATTCCCCACCTTCATCAAATTGTAAACACTTTATAGATACACCAAATTGATTCAAAACAAAAGCATGAAATTTAACAAAAATATGAAAAGCTTTTGATTTATTATCCATGGGAAAAATCCACATGAATCTTGAATATTCATTTTCTAAATTCATATAGTACCTATACCTAGACTTTGTTGGAGATGGACCCCATACATCAATGTGGACTTTATCAAATAGACTACTAGCTCTAGTTTGTCTTATTGGAATTGGTTGCTTACTCATCTTGCCCTTAATACATGAAGAACACATGGAAATACAAGTATTAGAATATGTACTAACTGGTATATTAGAAGCTTTCAACATTACAGTCAATATCTCCTTAAAACGATACCCAAGTCTCTGGTGCCAAACTGATTCTTGAACTCTCTTTCCCAGAAAAGCAGCACAATTACTCAACTTCATAGCAAAGGATCTTGAAAATGTAGTCACTAGAATCTTGAATAACTCCCCACCATCACTCCTTCCTTGGTATAGTATCACCATTATGGCCTTGTCCTGTATAAAAAAAAGTAAGATCATCACATATAAACCAACAAACATTGTCTCTGCATAATTTCTTAATTGACAACAAGTTTACAGTAATCATTGGTACATGCAACACATTATGTAATTTTAAAGAATAACTTGATGAGTTAGGAATAATAGAAGACCCAATATGTTGTACAACCAAACTTTCACCATTTCCCATAACAATCTTTTCATTTCTAGTGTAAGATGTTGCTTGATTTAAAGCATTCACATTAGCAGTCATGTGATGATGCAGATACATCTTGCTGGCTAATATTTCCTTATGCAGTCATTGTAGTTAATGTGGATGATGGTGGAGTACCTTGATTCGATAAATTATTTCTGTGATAGCATTTCAATGCAATGTGACCCTTTTTTCCACAGATTTGACAAACTATAAACCCACCAAAAGATTGTGCATTATTGTTATCAGCTATGTAATAGCAATTTAGAGCAGTGTGCCCTCTTCTTGAAAAAATTTGACATTCTGAGGAAATTGAAGCCTTGTAATTTGTATTTTTATTTCAATAGTTACTTCTTGTGTTCCCAGAGTAAGAGTTGTCATTCTGAGATTGCTTCCCATTTCTAAAGTAATTGCTACTTCCATTTCCATCACTTGAATTCTCACTTCTATTCCCATAGTTGCTAGAGTAAAGCTTTGAGTTATTATTCCCATTATTGAACCTTCTATTGTTACCTGAATAATTGTTGTTCCCAAAATAGTTGTTGTGCCCATCATTCCTTTGCTGAAAAGATCTATTTCCAGTGCCAACGTAGCCAAATTCTTCTTGGAAATTAGATTGATTCCCATGATATTGATCCCCATTAGAATTAGAATTTTCCCCATGTTCATAACCTCCCTGGAATCTCTGAGAATTAGACCCTTCACCTTGTACCATCATTGCTGCCATATAAGAACTTAATGAGTGCATTCTTGTTTCAATACTTGCTTCAGCTCTAACTAATTGAGCCTTGAAATCTTTCAAAGACATAGCTATTTCCCTAGTAAGAATCACAATCTTGATCATTTCAAAATCCACAGGCAATCCAGACAGTACAACAATCATGTAATCATTCTCTGTAACTTTCTCTCCAGCTAAGATCAATTGATCTTTTATACCCTTCAGTTTCAGCATAAACTTCTCAACAGACTCCCCACCTTTATGTGAAGTATAAAACTCAGTCTTCAATTGATTAATCCTCACCACAAATATGGATGCAAATCTTTCTTGCAAACAGGTCCAAGCTTCTTGTGAGGTTTTGCAACCAATGACATACTCCATCACATCATCAGACAGAGTAACAATCAACAAACTGTGCAATGCCAAATCTTTCTTCACCCAATTCTTGTAAGCTACTATAACTTCTTTTGTCACACATGTCTCTGTATCGATAACAAATCTAGGTGAGCATGGTGATTCACCAGTAAAATAGTTAAACAAATCATAACCCCTTAGTACCGATTGAAACTGATAGCTCCATTTGACAAAGTTGTCATCTTGAAGTTTCACAGTTAACATCCCTAACAACCCTTCAATTTTCACTGAATCAGACATGATTTACTATCAAGAAACACTTCAAAGATTCAAGATTTATCAAAATATCACACCCCAACACTGCAACAGAAATCAAGAACTCAACAATTTGTATCAACACTGCACTCCGACTTCGGCCTTATGAAATGCAGAAAAACCCAAAATATTTTGTAAAGATCAACTCAAAATTTGTATGCAAGAAAGATTGGCTTCGGCCCTTGTAATCTTTAGACCTCTAACACTTTCCATCTTCATTCAACATATATGGCATCGGCCTTGAATTTTATCAATTTTGACTAAAATTTTCTTACTGAGAAATTTATCAAATAGTTCATCTACAAGATTGCAGAATTAGAAACTGTAAACCTGAGATCGCTTGGAAATTTGCACCATTGAAGAACGCAAAAAACCAATCACCAATCGCCTAGATTCGAAGAACACCGATCACTTCAGAAAACACAGCGAAAGATACACCATGGATCGCACCTCGGCGATGATGCCATCATAACAAAACTAAGAAAACATGAAATGTACAACAACTAGAGAATCGAAGAAGAATGAAAGCAATGAATTGAGAGAGAGAGTTTGTATTTCTGAAGAAAATGATACACTTGAATGAATGAATCTTACACTAGCATATGAGCTTATATAGCCTATATGTGCTAACTAACTTTAACAACCAATTCTAACAACCTGGATTAGTTACAACAGTACCAATAGACTAAATGCCAAGTCATCAACCCTCAACTGTAAATTTGCCATGTCTTTAGTTGATTGCTAAGTCATCAGTACAGTCAATATTTTTATGTTAGCTTTATTATTTTTATTTTTATCTAAATGGGATTCTTTGTCAACCATAACAATCGTTCATCTACAACTAGTCAATTTAATGTCATCCTATCTCTCCTTGTGCTTTGTCTCGTCATTATTTGTCGATTAGATGCCATTGAGATGAAGGAACTTATTCTAATATGAACAACGTTGGCAAAACCATTATTCCAGACACCACACCCATACTTTCAACATGTTCAAAGGAACTTCGTTTTTCTTCACGATTAAGTTTTTTGTTGCATCCTTTTATTTATCATTTTATCATTCTTATTGGTTACGTATTCATTTTTTTTTTCCAAAGGTAAGAATTTTATTAAATTCGAATAGAGATGGTTACATCAGAAACCAACGTATTAAACAATCATAGGTCAAGACATTCCAACAAAGTTAGATTCGCCATATTAAAGATCATCTAGTCTCTCTCGCTCTCTCTCATCTCTCTCTCTAGGAAAGCTCTCTCTCTCTCTCTCTCTCTCTCTCTCTTCTCTCTCTCTCTCTCTCTCTCTCTATTGATTGGCTTAATTGTAGCCATGGTATTTGAATTTTACTCCTAGTTTAATTTTAGTTTTTAAACTCTCATATTAGTTTTTTTTTAATCTTGAACTTAACAAAGTGTTATACCATTGATTTTTTTTCACTAACCGCCATCTATTTCCCAATTAAATTTAGGAAACTTTAACGAAAAGCTCCCGGTAATGTTACTTTAACGAAAAATCACATTTTTACACTAAAAAGACAATCCTGGTAGTATTCACTTTAACCTTTATTTTGTCATTTTCATTAAAACTCAATGTTTTCAAGCCCCTTTCATTAGTTTTCCTTTAAATTTTGGGATATATTACAAATTTCATTGAACATCACTAAAAATAAATTTAAAAATGAATTGGAAAATGAGAAAGAAAAAACCTAAAAAAATCATATTTGATTTCCTATCAACTTTGAAATCTCATTGCCTAATATTTACAAGGTGCTAAAGTACAAACATTTTCATTTTGTATTTTTAGTTCATTCATTTTCTTTTAAGTTTTAGATATTAATTTATTAATTTTCATTTCTTTTAGCTTCTTCTATTTTTTTTTTTTGAAGTTTTAAATTGAAATTTCTAAGACATCCCTAGATTTAACGAAAAAATGACGGCGTTAGTGAAAAGTATCAATGGTGCAGCACATTGTTAATTTTAAGGACTATAAAAATTAATATGAGAATTTAAAGACTAAATTAAAGGTAAAGTTCAAAGACCAGCATTACTACAATTAAGCGTTATTTATTTTCGTTTTTTAGAAGATTCATGCTCTCTTGTTTTTTCTCATTCCATTTTTATATTTATATCAATCAACACATTTTTGTCATTGATATCGTCTTCCATTAAAAAAAAAAAAACACCTTTTTGTCATTGATGGTTTATTGGAGGATAAAGATTTCTTTCTCGGTCAATATATGGGAGATAGGGATGAAACAACTACATGAGTATCATAATTTTGTTGTGAGTTGATGAAAAAAAAAACACCCTCCTCAGCACATTGAGCCCCCTGATTGAAGAAAACTATATGGAATTTGTAGTTTGGTTGACGATATCCATCACACTACTACGTAGTGTTAGTGTTACTAATACATACATGTTTAATAATATAAGTGAGCTACAAAACTAATATTTAATGGACATGAGAATATATAGTATTAAAGAATCAATACATGTGTTATAATTAACAAATATTTTAATAACACTATATAGTGATGTGCAGTGGCGAGAGCCACATGGAGGTCATTCTGAAATTTCATCCATTTATATATGATGTCTGCTAGCTTAAATAATAAAGAGTATGTGCGCTCATTTGTGGAGTAAAAGTTTAAAGTTTACATCAAGTGGTTTGAGACTTAAAATCATTCTATAACTAGCCTTTTATTTTACCATATAAGCCTTCTGATACCAACAAGCTTTTGATTTTTTTTTTTTAACCAACTTTTTCTAGTCAATTCATATAAAACAAGATCTATAATATCTAGAGAAAAATCAAATTATGTTGAAAGAAAAATCTCATGGTAATAGTTTTAAGCTCGTCATGATCTTAAATTTTGTTCGAATCTAATTAACCATTTTTTATTACAGCTCGAAACAAGCTCGTTTCTTTTGATATAATCATCTCAATACTAAACTTTCAAACAAATTTTACAGCTTCATCAGCTTGCTTGATTGAAATTTTCTGACAATACAAAGTAAAAAATAAAACCTTTGATTGTTCTCCAACTAATGATACTTGTAACTATTTTTTCTCATTTATTTCATTTGAAATAATAGCCTCTCGTGCGATGGGTTTATGACTCCGTCACTTGGTGATGTGACATTTACCTGCACTGAAACTTTCTTCCCGAGTTTGGTGGCGTCTAGGACAAACGGGTAAAACCTGTAAGAGGAAAGATTGACGGAGAGGTTGAAAATATAGTGTGAATAAAACATACAAGTCTTGTAAATATGCATGAAACCCAAAAACGATTGAAGAATTAAACGAGGAAAGTTAGGCATACGAACTTGGAGAAATCAATCGAAATTGAACCATGTAATACCGTATATAATAATGCTTGAAAAGCAAGTTAAACATGGAAAACATATTTTCTCTGAAATTTGGTTCAGCAACTGTTGGATGGGTGACTAAATTGATATGTGAATGAAGGAAAATCATAGGTAGCTGTAAATGATGTGCTCAGCAAAAGCCCATACAGAACGCTAGCAAGGACGATATGATAGTCGGCATGGACATTAACGATTCATGAAGACCTTATCTATGAGGTTAAATTACAAGTCAAAGACCTTAGCTATGAGGATAAATTACAAGACGAGCAAAGCATGACTACTGATTCATGAAGACCGGTAGTATGAGGACTTTTGGGTAGGTCCAGGGACAAGCCAGATATTTTGTTGGATGGGGGCATGTTCAAATAGCACAGTGATAAAAAAGATCTAATGAATATGGATAAAAGTCGGACTACTCAGTAGTCTAGGCTACCGAAAACAATCTATCAATATCATCAAATACAGCTACCTTTGTATGTAACCATGTGAACATTCATATTGATCTCTGATCTAGTTTCTCAATCAATCTACAATTTCTTTCGAGTCTTTGTATGTGGGCAGTGGGTAGTCATTAATCCTGGGTGAGGTGGTGTCAATATTAACAAGATTATGTTATTCATGTAAGTGGTTTTTAGTGGAGTGTATTACTCAGACAGGTAGTACTGATTTTTTTTTTTTTTTTTGCCAAAAAAAAAAGAGTGGGGGCATCTACCCCTATTGAGTTTATAGTAGCTCCGTCAATGAGTAGGTCTTGGGCATGTTGGATCATTAAGGGTTTTTTTTTTTTAAATAACTATTTCACTTTTCAGTTTTAATTAACAGAACATTAAAATCAAGACTTTTTTATAAAATTCAACAAAAAGTGGCTTGCATTGATAATAGTTATTAAACAAGTTTTTAATTTTTTAATAGTGTAAACAAAATTAAAAACTGAAAACGAAACAATTATCAAACGAACTCTTAACTTGTGACAAGTATAACATGTTTAAGGATTTGCTCATCGCTTTTTGGTTACACATGAGTACTCGTTTTTTAGTGTCATTGCTTTGCTTGTCATTAATTAAGAAAAGAAAACCTCATGTGGATCTCAATTGATTAATTCTACACCAAATCTTGTCTCTAGATGCAAACATGTCTTCCTATTTACGTTTCTTATTGGACTTTTGAATTTCAAGTAATGGCCTTATGGTTTTGTTAAGAAGACCCACTGTGCCATGAAGCTCTAGTCCATAGGCCCGTTGCCATGAGTGACTGTTGCCATCTTACTCGTACTAAAATTTAATATTTTATAATTTTCAAGCATACAAATGAAGTGTCTTTTTTTAACAAACAATATTATTTATACTAAAAAGGGAATGGTGGGCTTAGCTTTACAATGAGTTAGCAATAATATGGTATTCGTCTTTGGCGAGAATCGAACTTACCTCTCACTTACTAGTAAAGAAGAATACTATTAGACCATAGTAGTACTAAGTGGCAGCACACAGATGAAGTGTTAGACACTAAGGAATGACCTGGTTATGATTATCTATATCAGTGTGTGAATTAGCCAAAAATCTTTCGGCCGCCGCGTTATTGTTGTGAAAAGAATAAAACAAATTACGACCAAGAGGTGTTCTGCCAATTAACCCCACAGTCGGCCATGACAAAACCAAAATGGCAAAACTCTTTCCTCATTGGTGGAAAAACATAGATTTCATTGAAAGACAAAGACTCAATTTCAGTTACAACATATAAGCCCAATAAAATTGGAGATAGCCAAACCCCATTCAACAAAAAGGTAAAACAATAAAAATAAAAATAAATCCTAAATTTTATCCTGTACAGACAAAACGCAGCCATTGCCGCCAACAATACCACCTCGCCAGCGGCCACATGGGTAGTTGCCCGTAAAAAACTAACTCCGCTTTGAAGTCGACAAAGGTATTGCATCATAATATTTTATAACCCGCAACAAAGTGATCTATCCAACCAAATTTTAGCACCAAAACCGTCACATCGGACAAGAGTCACCAAATATGAACCACTGACACATGCCCAAGCAAGTAGAGTCAAAAACCAAAACAACGAGGAAGGACATGGGGCTAAGGGGGGCATCTAAAACACCCTGGCTTTGGGGTTGGCCCCAATTTTTCAGCATGTCAGCTCGGTGCGAAGTCGTGCAGGTAAGGTTTAGATTCGACGACTAAAACAGGTGTGCTACTCCTAGCTTTGAGCATAGGTTGTGAAGGGGATATGAAAAGGAGTAAATGAAGATGGAAGAAGATGAGTGATAGGGTTTGAAAGAGGAGGATTGCAAGACAAGGATTAGGATTGAAAAGGCCAAAACGGCGAAGAACATGGGAAAGCAAGTCCTGACCGCTCAAACTGACAGCCATGGGCGACGGAAGAAAAGGCCGAGGGCATAACTACTAGGGCGAAAAAAAAAAAAAAAAAAGGGCCAAAGGATGCTAGATTTTTTTTGGGTTCAGCAAAATTCAACCTCCAAATAGAGATATTTTTAGAAGTGACAGGAACACGGATGGTACATCACATGTTTTTATGTAAGTGGTGGAAATTTTTAATTTTCAAGTTATTAACCTTTTAACACACATAATCCACCATTTATATAAGAACACGTAGTGTACCACCTCGTATGATGATCACATTGAAAAATCTCTCCTCCATATGCATTAAACAGGGAGGGAAGATATACAAAGCCACCATGGCCGTTCTGTTAATATAAAATTAATACCATTAATTAGGTTGAAAATTATTCTTGATATTTGTTGAAGCCAAATGATTGGTCGCATACACTGGTGGTCAATGGTAGCTATAATATAATTAGACGTGTCAACCGCTAAGAAATTAGATTTCAAACATGAAACCTAAATTGCCCGACGACAATGTTGATCTATGGTCAAACATCCCATGTGACATGTTAGGAAAAGTTCCTGAGCATAAACCTAATCAACTATTTAGCTACGTATTAACAGATTAATTATATATCATATGTCCTCTTCAAAAGCAGTAAACACCCTGCAACTTTAAGCTACAAACAATCACATCCATCACGGATACGCTAAATCTATAAAAAAATAAAAATAAAAAATAAAAAATAAAAAAAAGGGAAAATATATAAAAACAAGATAACAACGAACAAAATTAAACAAGAGGTGTAGAACGAGAAAAAGAGTGGGGAGATTTCATTTCACAAGTTATAAGGGATGACATGAAGAATAAGCAAGATTATTAAAATAAAATAAACTAAATAATTAAATAATTAAATAATTAATAGGGTATAGACATGTACAATTCTCCAAGCCTGTGAATTTTTAAGGCTAAATGAAAGAAATTTACAAGTGAAAATTGCATCACTGGCTACAATAACTCCCTACCCTCTTCACTCTTCCCTTTGCTCTCTTCATTCATATAAATAAACAAGTTTATGCATTTTGATCACATAGTTTGTGGAATAAATTACTCTTCCTCGGATGCTTTGATGCTTTTATATCGATAATGTCGAAAAAGGGCAGGAAAAAAGAGAGAGTATACTGCTAAGTGTGATTTAGATCACTCAAAAGTTTGAGTATGTATGAATGTGGTTTTTTTAAGTTTTGTAACTTTTTACCTATGCTCTCTTCTTCTGCTGTTGCAGTAGCTGCTGCTTATTTTGGTACAGCTTTACTAGGAGCTCGGCATAGAGAACCTCATTCCAAGCGTCTGGAACACCAGGAAGGCACCAATGGCTGCAGTCCTGGAAGCTTGTAGGTGATCTCCTTTCTTCCTCGGACAGTTTTTGCTTCCGGTAGATTGATGGGTGGCCATCCTTCCGAAAATCTGTCATTCTTGTGATATTGAGATATGTGACATGGGTTTTCATGTTTTTCAACACCTTCTCCAGTACCACCATTTTGGGCAGGTACGGCCTCAGATAAGACTCATTGAAGATGGGAACTGTCTCACTGTCACATTGGCCACCAGAATTCCACTGCCCACCACTGTAGGATGAAAAATAAATACGAATCTCCATTATTTTCATGTATGTAAAGCTTGAAGAGTTGCTTAATTTTACAAATCTCGAAGGAGACAGCAATGAACATATTCATGCACATTTCTTTACTTCTCAATTGGTAATGTTGATGAAATATCATAAGCAATTAAGCATCGGCACAAAAATAAGAATGCCTAATCTCTTTAGTTTGAAGTTGAACCTAATCACAGAAGGCAAGATATACTGCAACGCATTATCACTACACTCTCTAGGTTAAACTATGATTGCGTCAAGTTTACCTGAAATGGGAAGCAGAATAGCCCCGAAAGAAGATGATACTTTTCTTCGGATCAACTTTGGCATCAACCCATCTAGCCCATGTGGTTAATGCTTTCCGAAATGCCTCAAGAACATTCAGTTCACCATAAACATGGCTACCTTCTTGGTAATAGTCTTTCCTGCAAATTTTATGTTATTTTAGTTCCAATGGCCAGAGTTTAAACAACAAATTTAGATGCTAAAAAATATTTGAATCAAAATAGTAATAATAAACTCACCCTTTGGAGGTTTTCTCATGAGTCCACCAGTGTCCGGTGTTGAAGATAACGACATCAGCATCTTTATATAGTTCAGAAGATCTGCCTACCAAATCAAGACGAAGTGTTTCTCTCTTTGATCCATCTTTTTCCGGCATTTCCCATTCTCGAACTAAGAAAGGAGACACAAAAAACTCCACTGTGCAGTTATAATCCTGCCAATCCATTCGTTCCAAACCGGAAATAGAGCACATAAGTTTCACTTAACTTGAGGAAATGTTGCTTCCATCTAATATAAGAATAAGTTGAACAAATGCTTAATTGAATTAACCTACCTTGAATATGAAGGAGTAAGAAGCTTCCCCACGAAAATGGGTTCTCCCATTTGCTTCGAAAACCTTTCTCTTATCTTTCGCCGAGTTTCTGAGGATGCAAACCAGAGATTCCCACATATTTCTGTTCAGAGAATCACCAACAAATACCAGGCGCTTTCCTCTCAACAACTCCAACATATGACTTCCGTCCAACCTGGTCATAAAAACCTTTTCATATTAATAAGTCTTCGTCAAGCAAAACCCTTTGACTGAGCCACGGATCATTTTCAATGCTAAAACCAGAACCAAATTTCCAATACCTAAAGCCGAAAATCGACAACAGATCAACATGAATTTCGATTAATCAAAACCTAGTTACCCAACAAGCATCTCAAGTAGGTCAAAACGCAATTCAAATACCATATTATTCAAACTCAAAAAATGGTCAAAAAATCAAACTTCCAACATGTAAAGCTACAAATTGATCACATACCTTGGTAAAGTGCAATCCTTAGGCTTCCATTTGTATTTCTGATAATCCTTATCAGGCCTACCATTGAGAATACAGTTGAATTGTTCATCAATCAGAGGACAAGACCCCGGTTTGTATAGCGGGTATGAATCGTCCCTCACCCACTCTCCATGTAACATCTCACAATTCATCAAGGACTTCACCAAATCATCACTCCCCGGCTTCCTCTGCTCCATCGACACGCCGGACTTCGTTTCATTGCTCTGTTTATTCAACAGGGAAGCAGTTGAATTCTTCTCCACACCCTTCTCTGCAACGCTCTTGTCCTCCAAACCCGATTTCGGTACCAAATCGGAGCTTCCATTCACCCCCGCCACCGGGGTTTTGGGGGCCGTGATTCCCGTCTGATTGGCCGCAAAAACTGTGGCCTTATCAGAATTGTGGGAACTGTCGGTCTGGTTTTTCAGAAGGGTTGTCGGTTCGGGTGAAGTAGTACTATTCTTGGGTGTCACTAGAGGTTTTGGCTGGACGATTGAGGTCTGATTCGGGTTCAAAATGGTGGGTTGCGTTTGGTTTGTCAAAACAGGCGGTTGTTTATTCACAGTGGCAGATTGTGCGGCAGCGGGAGCGGCGGCGGTGGTGTTAGCAGATCTAGACGGCTCTGTTTGCGACGGAGGAGAAAAAAAGGATTGATTTTGCTGGGGCGGAGATGAAGAAGTACCATTGGGGAAGAAGACGGAGGAAAACGAAGAACTGGAACCGGTAGTGGAAGTAGTAGAAGTGGAAGTACTGAAAATGTTAGCGAACCATGGAGAAGTGTAGTTCGGTGAGGGACTGAAGGCCAAGAAAACAGTAAAGGCGACGAAAGCAACCATGAAGCCATATGCAAAAGCCGCAGTTCTTCTGGTTTTGAAGAGAGAGAAGAGGCTCTTGAGGTCAGAGATCAGAGTTCCGCCGTTGATGGGGAGGTGCTGCTGCTTTGTGACCTCTGCCATGAATGCGGTCGTTGTGTTTGGTTTTTGTGGAATGCGGAGGCAGATGTGGGAAAGTGGGAGAGTTGGGAGTTTAGAGAGAGACAGAGAGAGAGTGGACAGAAATGGTGCCGCTTATAGAGAGAGAAAGAGAGAGGAGAGGGAGGAGAGAGAGTGTGTGCGTTGTGCGAGAAGCGTCTAAGTGAATGACACACTAATTAGAGAGAGAAACCGAGGAGGTGGAGTTTTAGAGAGAGAGAGAGAGAGAGAGACAGTGGAGGTGAGTTTTACTATGTTTGGCAAAAAGGCATGCAATGCGAGCTCTGGGGATTATTTAACCACTTTGACCCTGGCATTTGGGAGTAATTACACGAGTGCCAAATCTTCTCTTCAAACTGCCACACATCGTACGGTTCGATTATTCGACCAAAAAATCGTACGGTTCGATTAACTTAACTTGCGGCTGCTTTTGACGCGTGGAGGTTTGGAGAGAATTAATTGAGTAAACAGGAGGGATCTACTGCTGCTGTGGACCAATGAGGATGCGACATATGTAAAGAGCAAGGATAAAATAAAGAGGAAAAAAGTTAATTAACTGAATTTATACACCGGCCTTCTCTACAATGTTTTTTTTTTTTTTTTTTTTTTTTGAACAGTCTCTACAATGTTTTGTGGCCTCATTGTTATGGGGTTGCCCTTTGCACTGCAAAAAAGTATATATTTTGTTCCTAATCAGGCCTAACTCTTTGAGTTATACCTTTTTTTTTTCAAAAAATTTCCACCATCAAAATTAATATAAAAGTTTCAAACTCTCCCTCTCTTTCCGTAATAATAGTAAAATTAAAAAAAATAAACTTGTTTACCATTCATGTTAGTGGTAGATTTGTCTACTCAATTCACTCATCAAGTAACGTGTATGTTTCAATGTCATTATCTTATATAAGTTACGAATAAGTAAGGTTTAGAATGATGAACGTTGAAGATTGTCGATCAATGTATGTGTTAAAAATTGTAAAAGAAATTTAATTGACTAAAACTTAAAGTTTTCATTATAATCCTGTCAACTTAACGTGGAGAAAACAAAATTATAGGAACAAGAATGTGAGGAAATATCATAGTATATTTGAAGATAAGAATAAGACGGTCTAAATACAACTCCAAAAGTTGTTTAAAATACTCCTACAAATTTTACCCCGAAAGAAAAATAAGAGAATAATCAAATACTAAAAATTATCCAAAATATTAAAATCTATAGTCAAAATTTATGGCGAAATCGCACAACTCAAATATTACAATAACGAAGCTCACAACTTACTAAAAACACGGCTCAAGCAAAACTAATACATAACTTTTTATTCCTCAAAACTGATTACGGTTAAATTTACGCTTGTCGAGCTCCTTCATAAACTTATCTGCTAATCATCCTACCTCACGACTCCCAATAAATCCCAATACTGAAGAGGTCTCAACGCTAAACATTGTACAATATTAGGCTCTTGTTTTTTCAGAGTATCATATACTTTTTCAATGAAAAAAATTCAATTTTTTCTTGGACGTAAACATATTTTCTCATTTGCCATGAAAGGAATCTATGCTTTGAACAAGCATAAGATATAAAAGAGTACCTAATTTTGAATATTTCTTTTTAGGTGACTCATGCTTTTACTCCATTATTTTGTAGGAACACTGGGACAGGACCATTCAACAGGGGGGTGCCCACATTGTCAATACACCCATAATTCATAAAGACCTTGACCAATTGGGGGAGAAATAAAACACATAAACTGATTAACAATAATTAAATAAAAATCCAGGGCAGTGGCAGAAACTGTATCATTATTGAAAAAGATTACAAAATTTGATCCCTTCAGTTTGAAAGCAGAGTTTCCTCTAAAAGATAATGCTAGAGACATCAAATTTTTAAATTAAATTTACAAATCAACTAATAAGAAATAAACCACGTTAATAAATTTTTTTTTTAGTACATCGATATTTTTACACTAAAGGGAATGGCAGTTCGGTTAAGCCACACAATGGACAGCCTAATTTGGTGTCAAACTCGCCATCAACGAGATTCAAACTTAAGATCTCTCACTTCCAAAAGAAGAAGAATACCACCAGACCGTAGTACTGAGTTGCTAATCAACACTTAAGTAATAATAAACATTACATTATAGTAGTATTCATCTTTGCTTGTAAGTGAAAATCTTAAATTCGATTCTCATTAAAAGTGAATTTGAACCATATTATTGCTCACCTATTACCACCTCCTAATTTTTTTTATTTTTTATCAAACCATAGATTTGTTCGGTTAAATGTTACATTAGAAAGCTAACAATATTTGAAAGCACGGCAAGGGCAACACTTTTATCTAAAGGTCCGCTTGCCTCCCCCTCCCAATTTAAACGTTAATCACTTCCCGCATGGGACCCTCAAATTTTCCCTACCCTGACCTGCGGTGAGTGAAAGGTCAATTCATTCTTGTGGGGAAGCCAGAAGGTTTAATGCGACGCGTTTGGATTGGACGGTCCATGAGCGACGGTGACAGAGCGGACAAAACACAAAATAGTAGATAGTACATACGGCCGAGGGCCCAGGGCTCGGATTTTGGATTGGAATCACCGTTGTATGTTAGGGTTTTGAAAATTTGGGGTTCCCAAGGCCAATGTTGGCTGTTTGATTAGTTCTAAAAACTTTGGGATCTTGTAAACGGATTTGTGCATTTGTTTGGAACTAAAATGTTCTTAAACGATGTTGTGTGTTTGTACTTTGAAAACTGCTAAGAAAACTTTCTTAAAATTTTGTACGAATTCTCTACCGTTTCGTATTTTTTCATAATATTTTATTTGTTGTTATAAAAATTGACTTTTAACTGTGAGGTCATAAAAAATTTATAAAATATCACATTTTTAAGAGAGCTCCATAACATTTCTCTTTTTCTTTTGTTACTTCAATCCAAAACAAACAAGAGTATCTAATATACGGACAAGTAGAAAGAAGTAAATGACATATGTTAATTTATGAGGCGGTTATTCACTTTTAGATCAATATCTAATAAGTACTTAGTTAAGACATTTTTATGGAATATTATTTACTATGTGCCTATTCATTTTTGAATCGATACTATGATCGGATGTTCACCCACCTGAATTTTGGCTGTTCACTTTCGTTTCTCTCTTATTTTATCTTTCAATCTCTATTTTCTTTTCAACAACATGCATGTATTATCACCTCTGTGTTCGGTGCTAATAATACAAAAATAGCGTACAAAAAGTTAGACTATGTAAGATGCTTCGATGCATCCGAGACTTGCCTTTGATGTGGTTAACAAGATTTTTATTCATAGGTCATGTGTTGGATTACCTTCTTCCAAATAATATTTATAAGCTCATCTAATAGAAGAATAGACACATAGACTATACGCTTATTATGATGTTTTTACCCTTGACGTCGTGAGTAAATCACAAACTACCTTAGGGAATGTGAGATTTGTATAGCCTATGGGAAAAAGGCCTTTGGGATGCTATCATATCATAGGTACTTCGGGCCTATAGAGAGCCGACTCTTCGATGTCTCCCCTTGGGTTATAAGTACGAACAATATAAGTCATAACAATGGTATATAAAGAAGGCATATTTATCGATTTTCCCATGAACTTGTATAAAGGTGCCAATTTCCCACCTAAACGTTAATTTTAGTCGATTACCCCTCTGAACTTTTATACTTAGCCAATTTCCCCCTTGAACTTTAATTTTAGCTGATTATCCCCTGACCTTTTATAAATAACCAACTTAACCCCCTGACCCTAGATTTTAAAGAAATTCATGCATCCAATTTTTTATTCATTTTGATCATGCGGACAACACATGACAATGTATTGGGGCAAAAAAAAAAAAAACTGGATGGATGAAAAATTTAAAATCTAACGCTATGGGGTAAATTGGCTATTTATAATATTTTAAGGGGGTAATATGCTAAAGTTAAAGTTCATGGGAGAAATTGGCTAATTTTAAAAGTTCAGGTGGGTAATCGGCTAAAATTAAAGCTTAGGGAGAAATTGACATCTCTATACAAGTTTAGGGAGAAAATTGACAAATACCTTTATAAAGAAACAATACTACATATACCTTGCATTACAAAATAGTCGAACCCAACCTCAGGTAATTTTTCTGTTTTAACAGATAATGTAACATAAATAGAAGAATAATTGTCTTTGAAGTTAGCTCAAGTGGTGATGATAGCTGAACACATTACTCAACATGATACCTTCTGAACAATGTGGTAAGTATATAAGGTTTGGACATGTTTGAAATGTTTTTAAAATAACTAAATGCGTTTTTTGTGAAAGTTTTTTTTGGTTTCAAAGACATTTCGATTGTTTTTCAATATTCACTTGTATTTTTACAAAAAATTGGATAAAAAATGATTTCATTAAAAGCACTTTAAAAATATTTCCAGATACATCTTTGTCTAAGAGCCACTTCAATTTCCTCCTTTTTTTTTTTGTCTATTATAATTGTTTTCCTTGTGGGGGAGTGGACTAAGCCTCACACTAGACTAGCCATAATAATGTGGTTCAAATTCGCCTTTGGAAATAATCGAGCATAAGACCTCTCACTTACAAGTGAAGAATGATACTACTAGACCGTAGTATTAAGTGACAGTCCATGCCTTTTAAAATTGCATAAAAACATTGTTAAAATCAAGAAACATTAACTTATGGCTCCTTAACACACCCTAACCCAGAATGCCCACTTGGACTTCGAATCGAGATGTGCTGGCCGACACCTAGAAGGTGACGAAGCCATAATGTGTAGTGTAGTGGAAAATGTGAATAAATTAAAACCTAAAAGTGCCTACATATAAGAGTGCGCTGTGAGCGGGAGTGAACCCATTTCACAAGTGATGTTAGAGCATAAGTATAGTACAGTACAATACAATAAGATAAGGTGAGAATTGTACCCTCGAAGGTAATCGTCTACACCACGATTTGCTAAAAATCCTCGACGATAAGAAAGCTAAGCTACTAAAACTTGGAGGGGCGAAAAACAAGGATGAGTGGGTCTGAAAATAAAGTTTTATAAAAAACTTTCTAAAAACATCGTAACCCCTCATTGTAAAGCAAGTATAGTTTCCAAAATATATTTACTACATATAGTATAAAAATACTTACTGTAGCCTACAAAATCTCAAGAATTCATTACGGCACAGTATCTCGTAAATAAAAGCATGACATCCTTAATCACAAAATCTCAACAGTAGCATAA